TAATGAAGAAAAACTTTAATACAAGTTTAACATAACAGCACATGTACAACGTTTCGACAAAGTTTTGTCATCATCAGGTACCATCATAACATCATAAATTCTAAAGACGTGTCAATAACTTCGTAAATTGCAGCTTGTACGTGTCAATAATTAAAATTTACGATAGGTCCTACGAATATAAATGTATAAATTTTAATCTACATAATATAGTCAACATTTATCAATACGATCTTCGAACAACTGGATAGATGAGGATTTAAAGACCCAGTGGGGTAGCGGCAAGGTTACAGACTTACAACACCAAAATCCAGGAATAGAGTCCCCGTCCAATTAAGGTTTCTCACCAAATCTATTGAAAATCGATTATGGTACTAATATATTCATATTGGATATTAAGAATTGTGTATAACCTCAAAAACCAGGACACATTACCTAATGATACACATTATGATTTGGGGCTCGGTGTTGGATGTTTGATTTTAGCTGCATTTTCTGTTTACAATTAAAATGTAATTATATATACTCATTGTTAAAAATACTTTATATCTGCTTAACCTTCATTATCCCAATTGTTACGTAAGAAGTGGTAAAACAAGTCAACTTTTGTCCTGTAACAGAATTATATTCGCGAAACTCTGAAAGAAACCTACATCCTGCTTAAATTGTTCAAAGAAAAGGGTTAAATCTTGAGTAACGTTTAGTTTATAACACACACACCCGACCAAACGTCCCTCTCTTTTTTTAAATAATTTAAATAAAAAGAAATATAAAGCGAAGTTTACTCTCTTATAATTTAAAAATACCTCAATATTTTATTATCAAGTACAAAATAAAATTATAGAATATAAATTTTTTAATCTTTAAATGTAAAAAGACAATTGTGATTTTTCATGAAAATATTAAAAATTCATTTTATTCTAAACGTCAGCCTAAAAATAAAAACTGTTCCTCAGAACGTCCGTCCTTCTGACTTGTTTTATGGCGACGTTTAAAAATTTGATGAGTTCCTGAGACTAATTATGAATAAATAATAATTCTTCGAGCATTATTTTTGAACTATGATGTAACGTTTCAGTGATAGATGCAACTTTAAACTTGTATGTTTCAAAATGAAACCGGTAATGAACAGATTTCTTCTTAATATCACAGACGATTTAACAAAATACATAGATTGAGATTTAAGTCCTTTGTCTTAGCGCAAAGCTACACAATAAATTTTATGCGATCTGTCCACCAAATACTTTATAATAAATAAAAAAGTATTTACATGAATTTCAAAGTAATGGCATAATGAAGTTATTATATTGCTTATTTAGACATTTTTGTATCTTGTATAGGTGGACTAATGTAGTTGTATCACTTTCTATATACAAGACCTTGCTACTGTGTAGATCTTTTTAAGGATCCTGTGGAGATCCAGATAATAACATGGAAGAGAGTTATATTAAAACAAAAGGTTGGATTTAGTATAACAATATTATGACATCTTAGTTTTTATGTCCAAACATCATACTGGGGCTATAATAACAACTTCAAGGACGTTTTCGCCTTCTCCACCATTGATGTATAGTACTCCATTTCTCCCCCCAAGTTGATTTATTTTTACTTCAATGTCTTAAGTGAGCAACCACCTTTCCACTTTTAGCTGCAGACAGCAAGAGGTGGTAAAGATATGGGTGTTGAAGACACCTTCTGGATGCAGGTAGTACATTTGGGCAGTTGTGAGCTTCAGCACCCACATCTGATCCTCTATCTCTTTTTTTTTTAAGCACGCGAGGTCGGTAAAATTGAGGTTAAACCAAATAGATGGTGTTCCCCCAATGCACTTTGGGTCTTACTTCTGCCAGCACCTCAAAAATCAGGACACATTACATAACGAGTTCCCTCAGAGTGAGTGCGAGTGTGTTAGACTAATCAATTTGATCAAGAAAAACTAGAAACCTAGTTATCCATAATAATTAGAGATATTCTCAAATTGTGGACAACATAGCTGCAAAATGAGTGACAAAGAGAAACAAGGGCAGTTAGTACAATTATTTATTAATACCAAGCTTTGTTAAAAAAAATAAAAAATTCTCACCTACTATTTTGATAAACCACACACACAAAGATTGATTACTGTACCATATTTAAAGGTTGAATAATGGGTACAAAAGTACAAAACTTTTTTGGAAAAATACAGACTAGATTTATGTTAATGATGATCTACAAGTTTTAATTTTTACAAACATAAAGTTTAACCGTATGATAATAGAGTTTGAAGTGTTTTAAGATTTTTAATTGTTATATATGAATATAAAACTTATTGTTGAAATTATCCATGTATTAAATCATGTGTTAATAAGAATAAAAGATTATTATTGTCAGAAACACCAGAATTTGATTCTTTAACAAGAAAATGGAACTTTACCAAAAATCGTTTTGTTTTAAGTTGTTTGAAACATCTAATTATTTTGGGAATAACATGAAATACTAGTTTGATTCAAGCAGAAAAGGGACTGACATCTCATAGTTTGCAAGTCTAAAAACAGTATTTCATACATTCTTGTAATTGGTGCAATACAAAATTCTGAGAAAACACTGGCCTGTTATTACAACTGAGATTTCTACTTTACAACATACACAAGAAATATGTAAAAA